ACCAAGTGAACAGAAGGCAAGCTGAAGTGGGGTTGTGGGCTCGTTCCAGTTTCACTCATGAGGTCTGTTGTTCCATCATGGTATTCCTCATGTAGGAGGTGTGTTCTTGGGGAACTTGACCATGCTAGACCAGGCACGTGGAGTTGGTCCAWGCTTCTGGCTCATGAATGGCTCTTATTTTTTCTCTCCATTTAGGGCTGCAAAGTCGTTGGAGCAGCAGGRTCTGATGAAAAGATTGCCTATCTTAAAAAGGTTGGATTTGATGTTGCCTTTAACTACAAGACAGTAAAGTCTTTGGAAGAAACATTGAAAAAAGCGTCTCCTGATGGTTATGATTGCTATTTTGATAATGTAAGTGTAAACTGATTTAATATTTAATTTATTAATAAGGCATTATATAAAGGAATATACCAGTTTCTATATAGACTGTATGAAGAAAGTACCTGTGCCTCTTTTAAAAATAGCTTTATTGAGATATAATTCAATAATTCAAATATAATTCATTCATTTAAAATATAAAATTCTAGGCTTGGCATGTTGCTCAGTGGTGGAGCACTTGCCCAGCATATGTGAGGTCCCCCGTTCAAGCCCCACCACTACACACACAAAAAAATTATAGAATTCAGCCATTTTTAATACAGTCACAAAATACAACCGTCATTACAGTTTTAGATAAGAAACACTCACCAGCTGTCACCCCTTTGTTTCCCCTTAGAAAGTGATCTTTTGGGACTGGCTTCTTTCACTTAGCAAAATATTTTCAAGTTTCATTTATATTGTAGCATTTATTAATAACTCTTTCCTTTTATGGCTGAATAATATTTCACTATATGGATCTACCACATTCATCAATCAATACACATATGATTTGTTTATAGTTTTTGGCTAACATGTATGAGATTGCTGTGAACATTYATGGACATGTTTTAGTGTGAACATGTTTTCATTTYTCTGGGGTATTCACCTATGAGTAGAACTGCTAGGTCACATGCTAGCTTCATGATGAACATTTTGAGAGATTGCCAGACTATTTCACAAAGTGGCTACACTATCTTCCATTTCCCCACCAGCAATCTGTGAGAGCTACATTTTCTCCATACCTTTACCAAAACTGGTCCATTATCTYATTATAACCATCTGTGTTTGAAGTGATATTTCATTGTGTTCCGATTTACATTTCCTCTATGGCTAATGATATTGAAGATCTTTTCCTCTACATTTGTGTATCTTCTTTGGAGAAATGTGTGTTCAAATACTTTGCCTGTCCAATCAGTGGATTATTTCAAGGGTTATAGGAGTTCTTTATGTATCTGGTTATAAATCTCTTATCAGATTCAGCTGATCACAGGAACATCAAACCATTGCTCTTAGAAGAAATACGTACCTATATGTACATTTCTCGCATAAATTAAATTTCTCACATAAGTTAAATTTTAAAGATGCCTCTCCCTAGTAGCTTCTRTTTTCTTTTCTTTTTCTTTTTTTAAAAATATGTCTTAGTTGTTGATGGACCTTTATTTTATTCATTTATTTATATATATGGTGCTGAAATCGAACCTAGTGCCTCACACGTGCTAGGCAAGTGCTCTACCACTGAAACACAACCCCAGCCCCAGCTTCTATTTTCTTTACAAAAGAGAAAAAGAGGTTCAGAAGTGTTAAGTAACTTGCCTTGGCTGCTGCACCTATTATTCCCAAARCTGGCATTCATACCCTACCCAGCTCCCCCGAGAGCTTCTTGAACTACACTGCTATGCCCCCTTCCTTGAATCTCTATGCAAGAGTCGAACCTTCCTGGTTCAGCATCTACCAGGGACATCTGTGTCTTTTTCCCTGCTCTGTGCATGACTGCAAATGACCAGGGAAAGCTCTGAGTTTTGATTTTGAAAGTTACAAATTTTAGGACATAGTGCACTTCATAAATATGGAATCCACTGATAATGAGGATCAACTGCATGTAGTTTGCAAATATTTTTCCCCATTCTGTGAGTTATCTTCATGGTCTAGATAGTATCCTTTAAAGCACAAAAGGTTGACATCTTGATGAAGTCTAATTTAAAATTTTTGTTGTTGTTGTTGTTGTTGTTGTTTGAGCTTTTGGTGTCATGTCTAAGAAGGTTTTGCCTTACTCGGGGTCATCAAGATTTATTCCTGTGTTTTCTTCTATGAATCCCATAGTTTGAGTTCTTACATTCAGGTCGGTATTTTAAGTTAGTTTGTGCATGGTATAAGAAAGAGGTTCAATTTCATTCCTTTCCTAAAGAAGGGGGGAAAAAGGATTCTTTTGACCTCCACTGAATTGTTTTGGCATTTGTATAGGAAATCAATTCATCATAAATGCAGGGTTTATTTTTGGTACTTCCAATTTCAGTCCCACTGATCTTTATTTCTATTTTTCAAGCCATCTTGATTAATTTAGCTTTGCAGTAAGTTTTGAAATCAGAAAGTGTGAATCTTCAACTTTGTTCTTCCTGTGTCTTTTGAGTATTTTTCCATACTTTCAGATTGTAGAGCAATAAGACTATTGGACTGATGAGGGAATCCCAATATTTAATACATTAAAATTCATTTTATTATAAGGTATATTTCTAGAGTCAAATAGAAATGTCCATTTCTAATGTCTTTTTCAATTGCAATTTTCTTCACTGTTGTGATAATTTAATGCACTTTGTTTCTGCTAAAACAATATGAAATAGCAATTGTGACTTAATGATTTCTCCTAATTCTAATGCTTAGATTATTTAAGGTGTGCTTTGTTTCTCCTATCTGTTTAGGTGGGTGGAGAGTTTTCAAACGTTGTCATACCCCAGATGAAGACTTTTGGAAGAATTGCCATCTGTGGGGCCATCTCCACATACAACCGGACTGGTCTGCCTCCCCCAGGTAATGAATTCATGCGGTGATCACAGGCTAGGAAGCTTGGTGAGGCTTCATAGATATGGGAAGGTCATCAAAATGTGAGAATGACTTTCTGATATTATTGATGAAATTTAAGAACATAGCATTTATTAAAATAAAATATAGGATTTCATATATTTTCTGCTAAATCAGCTTAGATTTACTTATTTATTTTGTAGCACTTGAAACCAAGGACACTTTACCAGTGAGATACACCCCAGCCCCTTTATTTCTCCCTCAGCTTGTTTTTTATTTTTTATTTTGAGACAGGGTCTTGCTAAGTTCTCACAGCTGGCCTCAGACTTTAAATCCTCCTACCTCGGCCTTCTAAGCAGCTGATTTTACAGGTGTGCACCACCACACCTGACTTATATTAGATTTCAATATGAAAAATTAACAGCGGGGGTGGGGGGGGCTGGGGTTGTGGCTCAGCGGTAGAACACTAGCCTCGCACGTTCGAGTGCCTGGGTTCGATCCTCAGCACCACATAAAAATAACTAAATAAAAATAAAGGTATTGTGTCCAACTAGAACTAAAAAATAAATTTTTTTTTTAAAAAAGAAAGAAAGAAAAATAACAGGATCCAAGAGCACAGAAGAAACACTTATAACAAGTTCTAGATTTTACCTATCACTTTCTGCCGATTTGTAAAAAGACAGCCATGATTTGACTTAGAACACTTTGGCTCTCCGTGGTATTAGGTGACTAGGTGTGCGGTGGTGGAGGGTGACTTGACACTGCTCAAGGGAAGGGTAGGCTATCGGTCCTATAGTCTCAGGCAGTGCTTCCCAGTAGCAAGACAGTTGGCCTGACCAGTCTGACAGTTGCATTTCCCTAGCAATGCTCCATTGTGTGTTTTGTTTCTCCACTGCCCTGCTGTGCCCGGCATCCCCCATTCTCCACTGTCTTGTACTGGTCTTCCCTCCCCTGCCACACTCACAAAGGTTCAACAGCAGTATCAACAGAAAACTGTATCCATCTTTCCCAGTCCTATGAAAGGTCTTGTATAGGCCTCATATCTCAGATGGGAAGATGAATGGCCAAGACAATTAGAGACTCCTTAAATCCTATTAGCAGCAGACATAAAACAGACTTCTGAGCTCCTCATATAGCAAGCAACAAAATCCTTTCTGCTACGAATAAAAATGAGTCTTCTAGACTACAATCAAGTTCTAGGCAACCATAAATGGTTCACTCATTCTATGATGGGCTTCACTAATGGGAATGAAGTCTCACTAATTAACAACACAACTGCATGAAGAGGGTGGCTGAGAGTGGAAGGGGCAACTTACAGATTCTCTCTTGGGCTGTAAAAAAAATAAGAGAAACTAGCTTCTCTAAGAAGGAAATTCCAGATTCACTTGGCAACTTTATTGTTAGGAACTTTTTTTTCACCTTTATTTTTCTAATCGATGAGCTAGAATCGTGAGAAATCATCTGCCTGCTAACTGAGCAGAGTTCTACGATGCTTTTGCTTAGAAACATCTAATTAGGTTTAAGTAACTTGAACTGGTCTTTTTTTTAAAAAAAAAAAATTATTATTTTTTTTTTTAAATATTTTTTATTTATTTTAGTTTTCAGTGGACACACATCTTTGTTGGTATGTGGTGCTGGGGATCGAACCCGGGCCGCATGCATGCCAGGCGAGTGCGCTACCGCTTGAGCCACATCCCCAGCCCTAAAAAAAATTATTTTTTAGTTGTAGTTGGACACAATACCTAGGCAAACACTCTACCGATAAGCCACAATTCCAGCCCCTTGACCTGCTCTTTTTAGCAATTAGTCTTTGGAAGTTCAACTACTCAGGTAGATCTGGGAGATGTTAGCTGACTTTGTCCATTCTATTTTAACCAGTTGGGATTCTCCCTTGCCTTGGATCTGTAGAAATTCCAACATATTCCATTAGTAGAATAGCTCAGGGCCAAGTAATTATTTCCACCAAACCTTACTGCCACATTTGCTTTTTTTTATTTTTTAGTTTTTGGTGGACACAACATCTTTGTTTGTATGTGGTGCTGAGGATCGAACCCGGGCTGCACGCATGCCAGGCGAGCACGCTACTGCTTGAGCCACATCCCCAGCCCCCACATTTGCTTTTTTTTTTTATCTCAAAAAATAAACTAGTTCCCATCAGGATGGACTAGGCCAGCAACAGTATTTCCAAGATTAAAAATATAGGAACTGGGGCTACAGCTCATTGATAGAGCACTAGCCTAGCAATGTGTGAGGCACTGGGTTCAATCTTAGCACCACATGAAAGTAAATAAAGACATTCTGTCCATCTACGACTACAAAAAAAAAAAAAAAAAAAGAAAGAAATTCAGGTTTCTGGGGCTGGGGTTTGTAACTCAGTGGTAGCACACTTGTCTGGCTCATGTGAGGTACTGGGTTCAATCCTCAGCAACACATAAAAATAAATAAATAAAAATAAAGGTATTGTATTCATTTACAACTAAAAAAGAAAGAAAGAAATACAGGTTCCAATGTTTAACTCAAAAAGAAATATGGTTGATGTGGATCATCTGCAGACGCATTCTTTCCGCCTCTAATTCAATTCTTTCTGGTTTTCATCCAATCTAGCATGTGGAAGTATTGCTCATCATGCATCAGTTTCTGTTGATTCAAAACAAAGCTCCATTTTTCTGCTGATGCTACTTTTCTCAAAGTAGTGAGTAGGGACCTTAGGCTTGCGGACACCAACTATCTAGGGTGTTGAGGAAAGATTCTACCACTTGTCTCTTGTTTTCTGGTTCTGATATTCCCTAGGCATCTTCATCTGACTTCTTAGAATTTGTAAGACTTTGCTCAGGTATCATTCTCTCAATTTCTGGAAACAGGATTGCTGGGAAAATGATCCAAGCAACCAAAACAATCCTTTCTCTCTTACAGAAGAACGGTTCCTTCTTTACAGGCTGTAGGAGGACTTTGTGCTCTTTCTAGGCTAATGGTTCTCAAAGCGTGGACCCAGGACCAGCAGCTTAACTAGCTCCCGGGAATTTGTTAGAAATACAAATACTTGCCATGTGGGGTGTGCACGTCTGTAATCCCAGTGACCTAGAAGGCTGAGGCAGGAGCATTACAAGTTAGAGACCAGTCTCAGCAACTTAACGAGACCCTAAGCAACTCAGAGAAACCCTGTCTCAAAATAAAAAGGAGTAGAGATGTAACCCAGTGGTTAAGTGCCCCTGGGTCCAACACCCCTTACAAAAGAAACACACTTTTGAAACACTCCAGATCTACAGTTCCAAACTATATTTCCCTCCTTCTCTCCCTCTCTCTATCTCTACCTCTATCTCATATCCCTGTTTCCATCATCATTTATTTTTTCCTGACCAATTTTCTTGGGTCTCTCTTTCCCTCACAAGAATACGTGTGATTTTTATTGAGACGGTGTATGATCTAGAATAGTCTCCTGATCTCAAGATTCTTAATGTAATCACACCTACAAAATCCTTTTTGCCACATAAAGTAATATATTCACAGGTTCTGGGGTTTTGGAATATGGGAGTCTCTGGGGCCATTGTTCTAAACCTACGACAGAAGACATGTTGATCATCAGCAGCCCCATGTATCAGAAAGGGGCAGAGAGAATGAAGGGGAAACAGTGACAAGTGACTTTGATGGCTTGTGTTCCCACCCTGGAGAGCAACATGTAGACCCTATTGCTTAAATGTGCCCTCCTCTTTCAGGCCCACCTCCAGAAGCTGTTATCTATCAACAACTCCGCATGGAAGGGTTCATCGTCACCCGCTGGCAAGGAGATGTCCGCCAGAAGGCTCTGAAAGACTTGATGACATGGACCTCTGAGGTAAGGGAATCCAGAGCCATCCACTTCCATTGTACGCTAGATTCCATTGGCTTTTTGCCACTCAAGACCATCCATCTAGCAATGGGTCCCTTTCTCTGTGGCACTACTTGTTACTTCCTRTCTTTTGGATCATTGTTTTTCAAATACAAACCTTGCTTTTCCCATCCTGAAAAGGAATATGAAACAACCCTCTTTAAATTTTATTTCTCCTGCAAATACAGGTTCATGTCACTGTTTCCCCCTTTGATAACAAAATACCTTACCTGCAAGTGTTGTGTACCCTCATGCAGACATCTCCTTTCTTTCCATTGTCACTTGAACCCACATATCAGGCTTTTGCATGGTCACAATTCCACCAAAATTACTTTCATCAAGGTTGTTGATGTCCCTCACCCCGGGGAGATCCAGCGGCCGATTCTTAGCATTGCTTGGCAATGGCCAAGATTTGACAGTGATCTCTCTCATTGATGTGCTTTCTTTCCTGGCTTCCCTTATCTCTGATTTTTCCCCCACTGATTAGTCTTCCTCAGATTTCTCTTCTAGCTCCTACTTTCTAGATTAATAATATTAATAGGGCTGGGGAGGTGGCTSAAGCGGTAGCGCGCTCGCCTGGCATGCGTGCGGCCCGGGTTCGATCCTCAGCACCACATACCAACAAAGATGTTGTGTCCGCCGAGAACTAAAAAATAAATATTAAAAAAAAAAAATTCTCTCTCTCTCACTCTCTCTCCTCTCTCACTCTCTCTTTAAAAAAAAATAATATTAATAATAATTAATGTCCAGGGCATGGTCACTGGGTCTCTTTCCCTCTTACCCACACTCTGTCTATCCCTTAGTTAGCTCATCCAGGCTTGTGGTTTTATTTATTTTTTTTTTAATTTTTTTTTTTTCATAAAGAGAGAGAGAGAGAGGAGAGAGAGAGAGAGAGAGAGAGAGAGAGAGAGAGAGAGAGAATTTTTAATATTTATTTTTTTTAGTTCTTGGCGGACACAACATCTTTGTTGGTATGTGGTGCTGAGGATCGAACCCGGGCCGCACGCATGCCAGGCGAGCGCGCCACCGCTGAGCCACACCTCCAGCCCCCAGGCTTGTGGTTTTAAATACGGACAGTATGCTGACAGCCCCCAAATTTCTATCTCCATCCTGATTTCTCCTGTGAAGTCCAAACTGGTATATCCAGCTGCTCAATTGCTGTACCTGAATGCCTAGTAACATCTCCAAGTTACCATGTCAAAAACGAAGTTTTAATCTTTCCTACTAGACCTGYTCCACATTCAGACTTTACCATCTCAATTATGGCACTTCTACCTTCCTGGTTGCTCCATCCTAAAACCTTGAAATCATCTTTGATTTCTTTCTTTCTCTCATACCCATATCTATAATCTGTCAGTAGATTCTGGTGGCCCAGTCTTCAAAAGATGTGCAGAATTTGACCACTTCTTCCACGTCCTCCGCTACCACCCTGGTGCAGACTACCACCCTGTCTAACCTGGATGTTTGAAACAGCCCCTAGCTGATCTCCCACTTTTGCATCCCTATGGGTAATTCTCAACACAGCAGCTRGAGTAATCTTTTAAAGCATAAATCAGATTGTGATTCTYATGCTCAAAACCCTGCAARGTTCCCCYTTTCRCTTAGAGTAAATCCAAAGTGCTTRTAATAACCTACAAGGCTGTACACAGTTGGCTCCTGATGCCTCTCTAGTTTCATTTCTTAGTGTTCGCCCCCTTGCTCKCTCTCCCAACTCCTCCCCCATCCTCCATAACTGCTTGCTTAATTTTCTCCTCTCCTTTGTATCTTTTCTAAATGGTACCCTGTGGATGAGGCAATTTTTAAATTAAATTAAAAAAAACTTTAATTGACATATAATTTTACACATTTAGGAGGTATAGTCTAGTATTTCAATACATATATGCAGTATATAATGATTATATCAGGGTAACTGGGATATCCAGTACATCAAACATTTATCATTTCTTTGATTGGAACATTCAAAATCTTTTCTGGTAGCTATTTTGAAATATACAATTAATTGTAGTGAATCATAATATGCTATAGAACATTAGAATGAATAAGCCACCTTTGAAAATGATCTTATTGGGGGTGGCAAAAATGACAATAGCAGCTATAATGAAAAAGGATGAAGACTAGAAATGGCTATCAACAGAAGAATAGATAAATCAAATTGTAGAAAATACATACAACGTGATACTGTCCTTTCATAAAAAGAACGGACATGCAATAACKTGATTGAATCTATTATAAAATCCAGACAAGAAACACTGTATTATCTCCTTTACATGAACATTAAGTGGTAAAAATCAGAACCCTAGCTGCCCATGGGAATGGAAATTAACCAGAAGAGAACACAAAGAGTAGAGGGAAGGAAATGGGGAGGGAGGAGGGTAGGGAAAGGGGAGGTACTGGGGACTGAATTAGAACAAATTCTATTCCATGCTCTTATAATTATGTCAAAATGAATGTTATGTATAACTAAAAAGAACCAATCAAAAAATTCCAGCTTCCTTACTTTCTTAGTGACGTCAAGCAAATAATTTTGTCCATAAATTCACAAAGGTGCTTAGCCATCAGTATAATACATTAGGGGGGAAATGGTTCAGGTCACTCAGACCTCTACCTAAGATCTCTTTCTAAAAAAATCTTGAAAATATAAATTAGTTCCACTTAGTAGACTATGTGCCTTGTAATAGAAGAAGAAATGAAAAAAAACCCTTCACTAAATAATGTTAAGCACAAACTGAATGAGCCTGGTCTTAAAGAGGAGACAAATGATTGGACTGCAATGGTGTTTACATTTCCTGAATAGGCCTCCCCTCAGCAAGGGCCAAACAAAGGTGATGAATCTGCATCCTCTGGCCACTGGAGGTGACTAAGACAGTATGACCTGACAAGGGTGCTCCTGTCTTCATCTACTTCCTCCTCTCCTGAGATCATGACGTTATTAAACTTTTCTAAACAATCTACATAGAGAATGCTTAATATTGCCTGTGACATTGCTCCTGTTGTTACACTGATGACCCTGATTTCTAAATGCTTCTTTGTGTACTTTGTCACCYCTTGTGCATACCAGGTAAGTGGATCTTGCTCCCAAATTGACTTTAAGTTCACAGAAAACAGGGCCTCCATTTCATTTCTTCCAGGTCYCCATGATATACTTGATAAAGTTCTTGTGTGAGAATGAGAGTATCATTTGCTTCAGAAACCAACATRTTACATTTGTTGTTTTCATACAGGGTAAAATCCAGTATCATGAACACCTTATTGAAGGATTCGACAACATGCCATCTGCATTTATGGGATTGCTGAAAGGAGAGAATTTGGGGAAAACCRTAGTGAAAGCATGAGAGAAAAATGACACAGGAGCCACCACTGGACAATTTAAATGATTAGTTTTTCACCATTCAGTAAAAATTAGCMCTAATTATCTAAATTATCTTAATTGTCTAAAAATTAGCCTTAAGAATAACTAATCACTTTGACCTACCTAATAAAATGCATTTAAATGATTTAYAATTAGTGATAGAGAATGAAATTTTCATAGTTAAGAACAGCCAATCACCAACCTACTACCTACTACTGCTTCTCCTGCGTTATAGCCAAAAAATTATGACTTTGAAGTTGGTGTGTTAGCTTTCCATTACTGTGACMAAATGCCTGAATAATCACCTTAAAAGAAGGAAAGGTTTATTTTGGTTCACTGTTTTGGAGGTTTCAGTCCATGGTCTATGGGCCCCACTGYTTTGGGCCCAATTGGTGAGGCAGTACATCATCAGGGAAACGGGTGGGAGAAGCTGCTCATCTCATGGCAGCCAGGAAACAAAGAAAAGGACAGAAAGGAGCCAAGACTCAATATCCTCTTCAAAGGCATACTCCCAGTGACCTAATGTCCTCCCACTAAGTCCCCTCTCTTAAAGAATCCACTCCTAATAGTGCCAGTCATGATAAAGCTTTTAACACATGGGCCTTAGGGGGCACTCATCCAAACCAAAGCAGAGTCTAAAAGTTTACTCCCTCTGTGGCCTTGAACTTCCGATTCTTTGTTTTTAAATTGAGGATAGTTACCTCCTTCCAGAAAATGGTGAACCTGAAGTAATAAGATCTCTAACCCTATTGATTATAACAAAAGTCTCATATGAACCAAGAAAAGCAAATCTCTTCATTCACAACAGGTGCAAAAAAGATAGCACCTAGGAATACTTATAGACCTTTAAAACTTTTTTGCAAGATTTATATGGAAAATGGCTTTTAAAATTCTGAGGAACACAAATGATTTGAATATATGGAAAAAGTAACGTGCTTCTGGACAGGAAGATTCAATATCAGAAAGATGTCAGTTTGTTGATCAATTCTGTCATCATTAAGTTAAATAAAATTGTACAAAGAATGAGGCAAAAACTGTGTATAAAAACTGGATGGATATAATAAACTACCAATAATGGTCTGTTTTCAAAGAAGAAAACTGAGTATGGAAAATAGAGGGATAAGAGAAATCTTTGGAATGATAACATTTGGTACTTTTTGAACTCTGAACCTTACAAATTTACTCACAAATACAATTAAAAAATAAAAGTCCCTGCTTTTTTKTGTGTCCTTCTTTTACCAGTCTGTTCAATCCTAAAGTTATCAGTGGGACTGAACAAGGCTATTGCCTCTTAGGGTTTGGAGTAGGGGAACTCCATGACCCAGAGAAGGATTAGCTCATGCACGGAGCCTGGCTTCCTGACATGGACAGTCAAAGCTCAGTGTTGTGTATGTGTATACACCAGGGAGCAGAAAGGGGATGGGAAGTATTGGGTGGTGTGTTGTAGACTGGTGGGGGATTGGAGCCCAAACAAAATGGATATAGCATCTGAGTCACAGTAGAACTCCCCAACATCATGTATCAAAGTCCAGAGGAACCAGGGGCAGTAACACATGCCTGTCATTCCTAGTGAGCACATGGCAGAAGGATTGCAAGTTGAAAGCCAGCCTGAGCAATTTAGCCAGACTCTGTCTCAAAATACAAAGGGCTGGGGATGTGGCTCAGTGGTTAAGTCCCCTCCAAAAAAAAAAAAAAAAACGTCCAAATCGAGTGAAGAGTTCATCAGTGTCATGGCCCTATGAATGGTCTCAAGGGTTCGAGCAGGTGAGGAGAGCATTTGCACAGGAGGGCTGCCTGGTGTGTGGAGTGCAGGCAGAGCAAGGAGAATATCATGCCTGGCAACTGCATCACAAGGGCTGTGAGAGTTCAGGCAGAATAAGCAGGATGCTGATGTGGAGGGGTGGCCTGGCATGGGGCATATGATTCCAAATGAGGTGAGGACAGTATCCACGTGGGAGTGAGTGACAGGCAGTTGGATCCCAAGTAGGTTAAAGAGTTGCTTATGCATGGGATAGCCTGGTATGGGGGTCAGAGCCCAAGAGGAGCTTCTGGGTGGCAATGGGCTCACCAGGGGCTGGTGGAGCAGAGGGAAAGAAGAACATCCTCAAGGGGAAGCAAGAGTGGTGACCAGGTGCAGGATGTCAGAGCTTGAGTGGAAGGAAGGAGTATTTACATGAGAGGTGGAAGGTTGGTGATACAAGACCAACATGTAGAAGGTTTGATCAAGGAAGGAAATGCAACGTAAGCCAGTTTATGCCAGAAAAGGGTTACAAACATGGAAAGAATTGGAAGTATTAGTGTGAACTCATGAGTCTCAATGCATGAGACAAATTATGGTTGTTACTAAGTTGTATGTAGTATATATATATATATATATATATATATATATATATATATATATACTGCATACAAATGTACGTACGTATACATACATATATTCCTTAATTCTGTCCACTAAGTGGTTTTAATAGTGACATCCCAATAGTGATGCGAACACCAAAATCTCAGAATATGGCTTTTACATACCATTCTCTACAAAACAGAACTAAAGCTCCTTGGAGAAGTGGCTTATTCTAGGGCTGGGGGAGGGAAGATACAAGATGGGTGGGGTGAGGCTCAGTGGGGAAGCACTTGCCTAGCATGCTCAAGGCCCTGGGGCCAATCCCCAGTGTTTAAAAAAAAAAAAATCACCAAGAGGAACTTCTTAAACCAGAAAGTAAGGAAATATTCAAGGAATGAGGAGGTCATGTCAAAAAAAATTCAAATTCCCACTAGACAAATCATGGGAAATTTGAGCTCCAAAATAGGGGTACTGTCTTCTAATGTGTTACTGATGAAATCTGAGGATTTAGGATGTGGAGACATCAGGTTCTCTTGAAATGGGAAAGAAATCAGAGGCTAAAAGCACTTAAAAATCACAGAAAGAGRAGTTGGAGCCCCCTACCTTGTTTGGTCAGGTGATAATCCTCCCACAAGAAAGTATTATATTTCACCAAACAGAACTAGAAAAGCTATTAACTGGGAGACCCCGTGTCTGCAGAAGGGTATAAATGAGATAGAAGACTAGAAAGAGATGAAATGGAAGCCTCTATCCCATCCTGCCACACAGCTTGCTTCTGCCTGCTCCAGAATAATGGTAGCCAGGCTTACATGCCCTGGGCTGATTAGAAGACATTTCTCTACACAAAATATACATCCTGCTGAAGAAATTATATTACTTCAAGAAAAATTAGCAGGCACTGACAATTAGGGTCTCAACAGCAAAACCTAGGTGAATGAAACTAAAAAGCTTCTAATTCAGACTTTGRACTCTGAATTGGAAACACTGATCTCATCTGACTTTGGATTGTCTCCTTGAGGAAGTATGTACTGCATGTGGGAAGAATGAAAAGGAATGATAATTAAGAGACTGGGGTAGAAATAATCCATGTGCTCACGTTAAGACTATTTCCCAGCCTTCCTTCCTTCCATGTGACTGATTTCTGGCCAAAAGAGGAGAATATAAATTATTTCTGACTCCAATGTTCCCAAACTTCTTGGTTACATTATCCTCGAGGTCATATAATTTTTTTTCCACAATGCCCTAGGCCAAAAGAAATACCTACCCATTCCAACTGCTGGTTAGTTCCAACAACACAGTAGTAGTAGTTGATGTTGTCTCTATCAGTAAGAGATGTGCTATCACTAAACATTAAAATATTCTGAGAAGCTCCAGGGAGTTCTCTGCAGTGCCCTTGGAACCCAGTGGTGACCCATGGATCTAAGCTCTTTTTAGGYCAGTGCTTAATCACACTGTACCATGTACCAATTCTCCCCTTCCTTGCCTCTGGGACCTTGGAAGTCATATGTCCTAAACGGCATRGCTACAAAATGTCAGAAAGCAACAAAACCTGGAAAATAAACTTTTATTGCGTTAAGCTTGTGWGATTTGTTGTAACTAGCATTTGTTGGAACTAGCTTACCTGTAACTAGCACTGCTTTCTTTAATTCTGTACAGTTCAATATGGTGGCCACTTGAGATCATTAAAAATTAAGACTGCAATTAGTGGCACATACCAAAAGCTTTAAAACAGCAAGAGGCTAAGACAGGAGGACTACAAGTTCAAAGCCAGCCTCAGCAACAGTGAGGTGCTAAGCAACTTACTAAGACACGGTCTCTAAATAAAATACAAAACAAAACAAAGCAAAAACAAACAAACAACAACAACAAMAAAAAACAAGGGGCTGGGGATGTGGCTCAGTAGTTGAATGCCTCTGAGTTCAATCCCTGGTACACTCCCTCCCCACCCCAAAAAAAGAGTCAGCCTCAGCAACGTAGCAAGGACCCATCTCAAAAAATAAAAAGGGTTGGGAATGTAGCTCAGTGGCTAAGTGCCTCTAGGTTTGATCCCCAGTACCAAAACAGAATTCAAAACAGAAGCACAGGGAAATATTTTTTCATTAAACACAACTTTATTGTCTTGACAGAACTATAATTCACTTTAACCACTGCATCGCATAGGACACTGGTCTTCTAACACTTGTATAGAACGTGCATTATTTTTAGTGTTACATACAAACATATCACCAATCTAGTCAGTATCAACAGACTAATTCAGTTCAGATGACTTTTTTCTATGCACGGATGGAATATTATGGTGGGTTTACTTGGATATTTTATGCAGGTAGCACAAGTTAGAATATACCTATGCAGACAGCACAAGTTACAGTGTTTTGCACGTAAATCATAATCATTAAAGTGAGACATTTGCTATTATAATTATTTTCTAGGCAAAAATATATGGAAAATATTTAAATTTTAAACAAGGCATATCATTGAGGCAAAATTCAGTGCAGATACAGAAGCTAGTACTACAACCAGCAAAAACGGGACTAGGAGAGTATAGTGCATATTCAAAGATCAACACCGATTGCAATTTACAGCAAAATGAAAAGAAAAGACTGTTGAATTCAAGTGTTGAAGATAACATAAAAGGTAACACTGAAGACAATCATTAAGAATTACTAATTTTTTTAACAAATTAGCCAAAAAATAATTCACAAAATTAGTCATAAGAAACGAGAATTAAATTTCTAACAAAACAATTTTTAAAAATTTTAGCAGACTGTTTGTAAACACAGCGCGCTATTAAAACAGCTTAATTCTTACATGACCACACACAAAAAAAGAAAGTTAGATTGAAAGATAAAAGGAGTCAGGCTGGAGGTGTAGCTCAGTGGCAGAGCACTTGTCTAGCATGCACAAGGCCCTACATTTAACTCCAGCACTGCCACAAAAAAAAGAAGAGATTATTTTATGTATGACAATTCATTTAGAAAATTTTAAGACCTCTTAAAAACACACACACAAAAAAAAAMCC